GAGGGAGGAGATGGAGAGAGCCCTATAGGCTTATGGAATACTCTCAATCTCCTAATCATGGCTAGGAAATTGCTAGCATTAAGTGTGATGCTGTGGACCATAATATGTGTTCTTATGATTTGAAATACTTAGTTTTTTCCTACTAGTTTCCCACCCAAAATATCATATAAATTGTCATCTTTCCACTTCCATAATGGCTCCACTGTTTGATATCTCTCAGTACTATAAATGTAATTATGGGAGGCTTTTGCCCAATCTTGCTGTATAATTTTTAACAAAGTCCAAAAAGTAGTTTCTTTACCCTCTGCAACACCATCTGGTGCCCCCGTCCGTCTGTTGGTCAGTTTCCCAAATAATTGGGGAATGAGTGGAAATGAATTATGAGAGATTATTGTTTGAACAAAATATTTTCTCTGGTGTGCACATGCCTCTCATATCTAGCCCCCCCCCAAAAAAGAGCCCATAATTGCTATGGATATCTGTAAAGGGAAAGTTCATATTCTCTGAGAACCCCTGACATGTACTCCATGTATAAAGGTACATTACTCCTCCCCCATGGGAATCCCTCTTGGTGAAGTCCAGGCCACCCAGCATTAATAATGTGCAGGTTTTTGACCCCATTTGTCTTCAAGGGCAGAGCTTTTCTTTTCATCACAGAAACAAATGGCTACTGTTCACTCTGATGACAGTAAATAAATAGTACACTTGAGAACATCACTGTTGTGGGTGTGACATTTGTCCTTGGTGATCCCAGCTTCTGGGACAGGGAACGAGTTCTGTTCATCACCCCCATGTCCCTGATTATAGCCAGCCAAGGAGCAAAAAACCACACATGATGAAGATGCATCTCCACCATCTATAAAATGCAAATTCATACCGCCTCTAACTGCAGACTCATACAGCCTCAGTTTGCCTTGGAGGAATTTGACAAAAGAACAGTGGGTTTAACTCTTCCACCGTCACTTGGTTTTGCTAATTGAAAATTACATGTAAAGCAGATGCCAATTTTCTTTTAAAATGCTAAATGGGGTAGCCAGTTTTGAAGAGTGAAATTGAGTGAAGTTTGAAGGGGAAAATCCCCTCTCT